TCCGCAACAATTAGTATCCGAGCCAGATTTGAGTGTGTAATATCTGCTTATTGTCTTTGTGGTTACCACCAAAAGGTGGATCCTCCAACATAAGAAAGTAAGAAGGTATTACACATACTTTGAAGGTTCCAGATAACTATTCACGATAGTGAAATAGTGGGAACTATCCGTAATAGAAGTTATGGCAACGAAATTTGATATTGAAAAGATTAATGGGAGAAATTTCGCATTGTGGAAATTGAAGATGAAGGACATCCTGAGGAAAGACGGTTGTCTAGCGGCTATTAGTGAAAGGCCGATAGATTTTACATATGACAGCAAATGGAGCGAGATAGACGGGAATGCTATGGAAAAATTTCATCTAGCATTAGCAGATGAAGTATTGTCAAGCATCGAGGAGAAGAAGACAACTAAGGAGATATGAGATCATCTCACCAAATTGTACGAGGCCACATCGTTGCACAATAAAATTTTTCTTAAGAGGAAATTGTACACTCTCCGTATGTCAGAATCTACTTCAGTGACGGAGCACTTAAACAAGAGTAACACTTTATTTTCTCAGCTTACATCCTTAAGATGTACAATAGGAGAACAATAATGTGTTGAACTTCTACTTCAAAGTCTACCTGATTCGTATGATCAACTCATCATCAACTTGACAAACAGTAATGTCATCAGTCTAGTCTTCGATGACGTTGCAGCTATTGTTCTACAAGAAGAAAATCGGCACAAGAACAAGGAAGACAAACAATTAAATCTGCAACAAGAAGAAATGTTGACGACGATGAGAGGGAGATCAACAGAACTTGGCCAAAGTAGCAATCATAAACATGGTAGATCGAAGTCGAGAAGCAAGAAGAATTTAAAGTGCTACAACTGTGGAAAGAATGGTCACTTGAAGAAGGATTGTTGGAGTCTAAATAAAAACTTCAATCTACAAGGTAATACCGTAAACACTTAAGATGATGGAGATTCTCTATGTTGTGAAGCGTCAACCACCGTGAAAGGTAGAAAAAGATTTACAGATTTATGGCTCATTGATTCGGGAGCAACATATCACATGACCTCAAGAAGAGAATGGTTTTATCATTATGAACTTGTCTCAGGAGGATCTGCGTATAGTTGCAATGATCATGCCTTAGAGATCGTTGTGTGGGAACCATCAAATTGAAGATGTATGATGAAACAATTAAAGTTGTTCGGGATGTACGGCACGTGAAAGGCCTGAAGAAAAATTTATTATCCTACGGATTGTTGGATAATAATGCAAGAAAGATTGAAACACAAAAAAAAGAATCATGAAGGTGTTCCGTGGAGTGCTTGTGGTGATGAAAGACGAAAAGATAGCAACAAACTTGTACATGCTGAAGGGAGAGACTTTGCTAGAAGCAAAAGCCTCTGTTGCCTCATGTAGTTCAGATTCTGCAATGCTATGACATCAGAAACTTGGACACATGTCAGAATAATGAATGAAAGTCCTTGTGGAGCAAAAGCTACTTCCAGGCTTAACAAATGTGTCACTTACTTTGTGTTAGCATTGCATAACAAGTAAGCAATTAAAGTTGTTCGGGATGTACGGCACGTGAAAGGCCTGAAGAAAAATTTATTATCCTACTGATTGTTGGATAATAATGCAAGCAAGATTGAAACACAAAAAAAGAATCATGAAGGTGTTCCGTGGAGTGCTTGTTGTGATGAAAGACGAAAAGATAGCAGCAAACTTGTACATGCTGAAGGGAGAGACTTTGCTAAAAGCAGAAGCCTCTGTTGCCTCATGTAGTTCAGATTCTGCAATGCTATGACACCAGAAACTTGGACACATGTCAGAACAATTAATGAAAGTCCTTGTGGAGCAAAAGCTACTTCCAGACTTAACAAATGTATCACTTACTTTGTGTTAGCATTGCATAACAAGTAAGCAGCACTAGTTGAAATTCAACACATCAAATTCTAGAGGCAAAAGTGTTCTAGAATTGGTTCACTCTGACGTATGGCAAGCACAAGTTACATCCCTAGGTGGAGCAAAATATTTTGTCTCATTTATTGATGACTATTCCAGGAGATGCTGAGTGTACCATATTAAGAAGAAGTCAGATGTGTTTTTCACTTTCAAAAACTTTAAAGCGCGGGTGGAACTTGATTCTGGAAATAAGATCAAGTGTTTCAGAACAGATAATGGAGGAGAATACACAAGTGAAGAATTTGATGACTTTTGCAAGAAAGAATGCATCAAAAGTCAGTTCACAGTGGCAAACACTCCTTAACAAAATGGAGTGGCAGAGCGGATAAACATAACCTTGTTAGAAAGAACAAGAGCAACGTTGAGGGCTGTAAACCTAGAAAAATCATTATGGCCAGAAGCTGCCAATACCACATATTATTTGGTGAATCGAGCTCCATCAACTGCAATAGAGCTGAAGACACCAATAGAGATGTGGACTAGTAAACCAGTTGATTATTCAAACCTTCATGTATTTGGAAGTATTGTGAACATGATGTACAACTCCCAAGAAATTTCAAAGTTGGATCCAAAATCCAAGAAATACAAATTATTGGGGTATGCTGATGGTGTAAAGGGGTATCGCTTGTGGGATATCACTGCCTACAAAGTGATCATCAGTAGGGATGTTATCTTTGTAGAAGATAAACTACAAAGAAAATAATACGATGATAATGCTGAAAAGTCAGAGGCTACACATATACATGTGGAAAATAAGCTTGAACAAGGAGATTCTTCTGAAGCAGAACCAACACATGATGAACAAGAACCAGAGAGTTCTGAAACTCCAACAACTCGTCAGTTAGATCGTGTGAGAATACGTCCCAATTGGCACTTAGATTATGTTATAGAATGAAATATTGCATATTGTCTTTTAACAGAGGACGGTGAGCCATCAACATACCAGGAGGCAATAAACATCTCAGATGCTTCATTATGAATGATGGCGATGCAAGAAGAAATTGAAGCCCTTCATAAAAATAATACATGGGACCTTGTGCCACTACCACAAGGAAGGAAACTAATTTGTAACAAATGGGTCTTCAAAATCAAGCGAAATGGTGACGATCAAGTTTAGAGGTATCGTGTAAGACTGGTGGTCAAAGGATATGCTCAAAAAGAAGGTATTGATTTCAATGAAATATTTTCTCCCGTGGTTCGACTAACAACAGTTCGAGTAGTCTTGGCAATGTATGCTACATTGAACTTACATCTAGACCAGCTAGATGTTAAAACAACTTTTCTTCAAGGAAATCTTGAAGAAGAGATTTACATGCTCCAACCTGAAGGTTTTGAAGAAGAAGAAAAGAAGAACTTGGTTTGCAGGTTGAACAAATCTATGTACGGTCTAAAGCAGGCGCCGAGGTGTTAGTATAAGAGATTTGATTCCTTCATTATATACCTTGGATACAACAAACTTAACACAGACCATTGTGCTTATTTTAAGAGGTTTGGTGATAACGATTTTGTTATATTATTGTTGTATGTGGATGACATCTTGGTTGCAGGATCCAACATAGATCATATTGAAGAATTGAAGGCACAACTGGCTAGAGAATTTGAAATGAAGGACTTGGGATCAGTAAACAAGATTCTAGGGATGCAAATTCACCGAGACGGAAGTAATAGGAAGATTTAGCTTTCACAAAAGAATTACTTGAAGAATATCTTGTCAAGATTCAATATGCAAGATTGTAAGCCAATTTCTGTCCATCTTCCTATTAACTTCAAATTATCCTCCAGTATGAGTCCCAACAATGAAGAGGAGAGGATGGAGATATCTCGAGTACCGTATGCATCGGCAGTGGGAAGTTTAATGTTTGCTATAATATGCACAAGACCAGACATTGCACAAGCAGTGGGAGTGGTTAGTCGGTACATGGCGAATCCAGGCAAAGAGCATTGGAATACAGTAAAGAGGATCCTGAGATACATCAAAGGGAACTCAAATGTTGCATTATGTTACGGAGGATCAAACTTACTTATCAATGGGTATGTCGATTCTGACTATGCAGGATCTACTACAGGATATGTGTTTAAAATTTCTGGTGGAGCTATAAGTTGGGTTTTAAAATTGCAGTAAGTTGTGGCTACGTCCACAACAGAGGCAGAATATGTAGCAGTTACATAAGCCAGTAAAGAAGCAATTTGGTTGAAGATGCTATTGGATGAGCTTGGACACAATCAAGAGTATGTCTCTCTGTTTTTTGACAATCAAAGCGCCTTACATCTAGCAAGGAATCCAACATTTCATTCAAGGACAAAACATATACGAGTTCAGTACCATTTCATTCGTGAAAAGGTGGAAGAATGGACGGTAAATATGCATAAGATCCATACCAAAGACAACATAGCAGATTTCATGACGAAGACGATCAATGTTGATAGATTTACTTGGTGTCGATCCTCTTGTGGCCTGTCAGAGACGTAAGCAACATGAAGGTACAAGGTAGAATGTAGAAAGAATGGTGTGAAGATATGATTGTTCCAATCAAATCTTCAAGTGGAGATTGTTATAAATTCAAAGCAACTTTCGATGGGTTGCTGGCAAAAGAAGCTTTCGGTGCAATGATCAAAAGTTGCAACTAATTTGTTGAAAAAATGGTAAAATTTCAAATTTAGTCATTGTACTTTAGGGTATTTACAAGATTAGTCATTAAGCTTCAACTATAAATACCCTAACCCATTTAACTTCAAAATCATCCCAAATCATTTTAGTTTTCTCTCAATACTTGAAAATTTAGAGAATTTAGAGAATTTTTTTAGAGTTGTTTTCTCTTTTTTATCAAGAGAAAATTATCATTGTTTTCTCATTGTTAAATCGAGAGAAGTTATAATTCCTATTTTTCTCATAGTTAAATTCTTCTACCGTTGCCCGTGGTTTTTAATCTATATTATTTAGGGGTTTTCAACGTGAAATTTGTGTCTTCTTTATCTTCATTTTTTTTCTTAAATTATTAATTGCGATTTTACTCTATCCGATAGTCATATTCCGCAACAGTTTGGGCTAGAAAGTTTTTTAGTGATGAAAAGTATAGGAGCTTTGTTAGCAAGTTTAATGACTGTTTGTTTGAGAATACTTGTGCGATCGAGTCCAATGATGCTAACAGGGTTAAGGTTTACGGGAAGGATTTTATTGGATGGGCCAAGCCTGAAGCAGCCGATGATTCTATTTGGGAAGATGCTGAGGATGTATCGTTCAACAGCCCTCAATCAGTGAGGGCAAATCAGGACCTCGGGGAGGAGTTCGAGGAGGCGGCAAACGGAGGGATTCAAAGCTTGGCCTTGGGGGCATTGGATAATAGTTTTTTGGTTGGTGATTCTGGTATTCAAGTTGTTAAGAATTTTGCTCATGGGATTCATGGTAAAGGTGTTTACGTAAATTTTGACCATGGGAATCAGAAGAGTGCTTCAAAGTTGGTGCATTCAACACCGAAAAGGGCTCTTCTTATGAAAGCTGAGACGAATATGCTGCTCATGAGTCCAACGACCGAGGGGAAGCCTCACACAACAGGGCTTCATCAGCTGGATATCGAGACTGGGACGATAGTTACGGAGTGGAAGTTTGGGAAAGATGGAACTGATGTTGGACCCATCAGGAGCCACATTGTTAGGATTGGATGATAATAGGCTTTGCAGGTGGGATATGCGAGACCGGAATGGAATAGTTCAGAATCTGGCTACTAGCCCCCTGTTTTGAACTGGGCACAGGGGCATCAGTTTTCAAGAGGGACTAACTTCCAGTGCTTTGCAACCACTGGTGATGGCGCTATTGTGGTAGGGTCTCTTGATGGGAAAATCCGTTTGTATTTAACCAATTCTATGAGACAGGCAAAGACAGCTTTTCGAGGCCTTGGGTCGCCTATCACTCATGTTGATGTTACCTTTGATGGGAAGTGGATATTGGGAACAACTGATACCTGTTTGATTCTTATCTGCACCCTTTTCACTGACAAGGATGGCAAGACAAAGACAGGTTTTATTGGGCGTATGGGGAATAGGATTGCAGCCCCAAGGTTGTTAAAGCTGACTCCTCTGGATTCGCATTTAACTGGGGTTAATAAAAAGTTCCGTAATGCTCAATTTTCATGGGTGAAGTATACATTACCTCTCACTTCGATTCAAATCTCTAGCATGTGCTTTTAGCTGATGAACTTCATATTATGTTCGCCTTGTAGATATAACCAACCATTTAATTTGGAATGAAGAACTTAGTTAGCAGGATACAACCCGAGTTATTTGTTGCTGGAGATATTTTACATCCCTTGATTTTATATTTTGTTGCCAAGAAAATATGATTCCTTTACTTTGCGTTATTTATTGATACGTTGGTTGCATAATCATTCAGACTAGCATTTTCTAGGTTTAGGATCTGAAACAAGATGAGAGAAAAAAGAGAATGAAAAGACTCCATTGTTGTTTAATAGATAACTGACCGAGATTAACACTTGCCCTCTTTTCAAGATTCAAAAACTGCTATTTCTGTGATATTCTTAGATCCATGAATAAAATGCTTTGACCATGTGTGTAATTGCATTACATAGGTCACAGAGAATGGGAAGCAGGAGCGCCATCTGGTTGCAACAGTAGGCAAGTTCAGTGTAATATGGAACTTCCAACAAGTGAAGAATGGATCTCATGAATGCTACCATAATCAGTAGGGTCTCAAGAGGTGCTACTGTTATAAGATAGTCCTTAAGGATGACTCCATTGTTGATAGTCGTTTCATGCACGACAAGTTTGCTGTCACTGATTCTCCCGAAGCTCCACTGGTTATTGCCACTTCCTTGAAAGTCAGCTCGCTCAGCATATCCAGCAGGCGATGATGATGACATGCTCAGATACAACTCTTTGGCTTTACTAATATTGCTGGGCAAGTCACTGTTGCAATTTACAGAGCTTCTCAACTTTATTTTCCTTTTTAGATTAGGTTTCTTTGAAAGTTTTTCTGCTAGCCCTTGTTTGGTTTAAAAGTTCCTTATATTTGATCCTAGCAGCTACTGCTTTCTAACTCAAAAGCTATTGGCTGCTAGCAAGACTGTTATGTTTTAATATGTACCAGTATCTCCCTCTTTCAAGTATTTTAATGTGATTGAATCTATCTGCTTTCTATTTTGAATGATCTGGTCTGATTGAATCATATCATGTTTTAGACGTACTAACTGATATCAAATCTTTAGTTGATATTAGTAAAAGATTTTTCTCTGAACAAAAAATTCTAGATTACTTCATTATTTAATTTTTTTTTGTTGATCTTATTCAAATTTTGTGTTTGAAAAGACAAATCTTTATTGTTGGGGGATTTTACGATTGTTTGATTGAAACTTTTAATAACCGAAAATGTATTGTGTTCTCAAGTATTTGTTCGTCATTTTTGTTTCGAGATTTTGTCTCTCGACCTTAAAAAGGATTTTGAAAATGCTTCGACTGAAAATAATACAGTACAAAGATCGAGTTTAACTTATTGTGACATATTATATCGAGCCGCTGGTGTAGTTTACCATGGTCCGCCCAAATCAACTGAGGTAAACCACACAACGGCTCAAAACATGAGGTAAGCCACGACAAGCTAGACATGGTCTACGGACTATGCTCTTCTCGGTTAAGTAAAACAAAATTCTGAGGCTAAAACGACATACATACATCCTGGGAATTCATATTACTTTCCTATTGTTAGAGGTTCTAATCGAGTAATAGGGATTCAGGAGATCCCTCAACACTTAAAATAAACATAATGCAAATAACAAACCAAATCCCTTCATCAAAAGAAACATCAGTTTTACAAGCGTTGACGTCCAAGCGTCTCAAAGCCTATACAGAACCATCTTTATTACTTACCCCAGAATCCAGGTCCCTTACCCATACAACCTCTTCCAGTATGTAAAAATATGTTCTCAACTTTATCATACATCAAATAAATCACTAAAATTTACACTCAAACGAGTAAAAATCTGTCAAATCTTATAAAATATTTATGGACACTGTGATAACCAAGGAAAAAGGGAGGTAAAATCACAACAGATTACACAATACTTCATTGACGACTTACGTGGGCTTGGATGAACTTAACTTCTTCCTGGACAAAAACATTAAAACCTTGGGGAACAAAGACTTTTTCTTTTTCTTTACAACCTTCAGTTCCGGGGATGATTCAGTTTCTGAGTTATTCCCATGATCATATGCCTTTGGGCTTGCTACAGTGTTGACAGGAGCGGCCTGTACAGGTTCGAAGTTCTTTGTTTCTTTCTTTCCCTCAGTACTTGCCCTTGGAGCTTTTTCTCCATGACTCAATTCAGAAGCCTTTCGCCGCTGCTCATGTTCAGCCCTCCACCTTCTCAATTCCTGCTCAATACCCAACTTCCCTTCCTTGGCCTTTTCAGCCTTCTCCATAGCAATTTTCAGTGCTTCCTTTCTTTCGGCCATCTCTCGAGTTACTTCTTCCAGCTTTTCCAAGCTTCTTGCTTCAGATTGCTTAGCTACCTCAATTTGAGAAATGGCAGATGCCACCCTCATGTTGGCCTGTTCCTCTGCTTCGTTTGCCCGTTTACTGAGGTCATAGTACTCCTCTAAGGAAAGCGTTACACCAGCTAGTGAATCAACATCATTGGTGCTTTTAGCTGATTCACTCTCTTGCAACGCTTTGATTGCAGCTAATGCCAACTTCTCTGAAGCCTTGGCAGCCTCTATCTCCTTTTGAGCTGCAAGTAATCGGCTCTGCATCGTACTTGCTCCAGCCTTTGCTTGCGCTGCTTCTTCCTTTGCTTTGCGCAGCTCTTCAGAAGCCATTTCAGCAAGTGACTTGGCCTCATCAGCTGCTTGTGCTGCCTGCTGCAGTTGTTTGGGCAGCTCCACCATTTCTTCTCTGGCCTCTTTTTCCTTCATCTGGACTACGGCTATTTCTGACCGAGTCTTGTCCAGCTCAGCTTCCAGAGAAGCAACAGCAATCGAAGCCATGCCTTCTCTCTGCTTAATGTTGGCAAGCGCAGACTTGTCCTTGTCAAGCTCTGATTTTAATGAAATAGCAGCCACCTTCAAACAATCCACTTCTGCAATTGCTTTTCCTATATCGACCTTCACATCTTCAAGTTCCTTTTTCAATGAAGCAATGATGGCTTGTATATCAGTGTGAATTTTTTTCTCTGATTCCTGTGAATCATTATTGTGCTGTCTATCAGTTTCCTCAATTTTAGAATCCATATAAGCAGCTAATTCTGCTTTCAGATCCAGTAGCAGTGCTGAAGCAGAGTCTAGCTTTGATTTCAGATCCTTTGCTGAATGAATTTGCCGATTGAGTTTCTGGAGCTCCTCTTCAACCTGTTTCAGTTCCTTCTCCCAATGGTGCGTATCTTGGTCTCGGGCCATGGCTGCTCCAATCCTTTTCTCTTCTGCCTCCAAATGGGCAGCATGTGCAGACTCTAAGGACTCCTTTGTGGCAATCAGTTCAATAGTCAATTCTTCCACTGTCTTCTCAACCTCTTTTGAAGCAGAAACAGCCTCTTCAGCTTTCTTTACAGCAATATCTCTCTCATTCATCAAAGAAGCATATTCCTTTTTTGACGCTTCTAACTCTTCTTTAACAGATTTAAGTTCCGAAACTGCAGCTGCATGCCTGGCTTTAGCAACATCAAGCTGTGCCTTTGCTGCAACACTAGCCTCATCAGCAATCCCCTGTTCCATCTCCTCCACCCTGAGCTTAGCAAGTTCAGAGTCTTGTTTTGCCTGGTTCTCTTCAGTTTGTGCTCTCTCCAGGTTTAGCTTGAGCTCTTCTATTAGTCTCTTTGTGTTGTCGAGCTCCTTTAATACTTTCATTTTTGCCTCTTCAGCGTCTTCTGATCGTTTCTTATATTCAGGCATCTCCTCCTGGACTTTCACAAACTCTTGTTCCACAAGCTTGCGTTTCTATAGGAAAAAAGTAAAATTTAAGTTTTAGTGGAGATAAATAATGTAGGCAGACAGAATAATAAATTATGGTGATCATTAATAGTTGATAAAGACAACAAAATTCAAGATGAATGACGTTGCCTAGAAATGACAAAACTTTAGTTACTATACTACCTCCAAAGTTTGCATTCTATGAGCTTTCCAATCAACAATTCCCCCAAACATGGAAACAGCTTCTTTAACAGATTCGAAAGGCGCAGCTGTATCAATGAGTCCTTTATTTAAATAAACTTGTTTTTTGTGCGTAGGGATAAAAGATTTTGGGGATTCGGCAGCAGAACTGATAATCTTTTGATGAGGCAGAGAAAGATCATTCATTTTGGCTACATGATCCTCATTTTTGGGATCTCCTGCCTTAGAGTCATTGACCTTGGGCAAGGATGAAAGAATGCCACTCTCATTATTAACAACAGAACTGACAATAAAATTGGCTTCCTGAGATTGCTGTCCATCAGAAACACCATGCATAGATCCAAGAGAAGCTGCGGCAGGTGTGACATGGTCATTTTCAGAATCTCCAACCTTCAGTTTGGAAGCAGGAGGAACAGCTATATCCTCGATATGTGCAATGCCAGGGGAAACGGTATTTTGAGATGGCTGCTCATCAAAACTGTCATTCATTCCCCCAGTCCTAGAATCTTCCATCAATCTATCTTGATGATCTATCTCAGTTTGATCCATTTTACCTGATGAAGTTGAAGATGCACTATCTTTTCTACAGTCTTCTTGTCCTCTAATTTGGTCATCAGAAGCATTTTTTAAAGAGTCTGGTTTAGAACTTTCCATTACCGGCAAATGACATTCAGGTTGTTTTGTCCCATTACTAATTGAAATTGTTTGACCTTCACCAGAATTATGGTCCATATCTACAGGCAATGAAGCAGATTCTGAATGAGGCATCTCTTCTGCTTTTACATTATCCATATTTGAAAATGACAAAGTGTCTGAAATCAAGGAAACAGAAACCATTCAAGAGACAGGAAAAATAAATTCACAAGAAACTACTGCTTAATCCATCTAATTCCAGACATAACAACTGACATGAAAATCAGCAATTATTTGTTCGACGTATAGAGTAAATTTCACAAACAAATCAATGGCTGCAGCTGCATTCCACTATAGTAGATCTTTAATTTATGTTGACAAGTTTGACCAAAGAAATCAATTGGAACCTGGAAAGCAGGAACAGTTTGTCCTCTCAAACTTGTTTTCCCTCTATGTTTAAGCTAGCACATGCACAGTATAGATCTCCAATCTCTTATCAGGCACACAGATGTTTAATTTAAGATTAGATCAGCAAACACGTCATCAACAACTAATCACACCAAGGAATGAATCACCAATTTCAAGGAACATTAATGCATCAGATGTTAAACATCTCATCAAATTTAAATTCATGCAAAATCCCAGTTCCAATTTTCATATCAAATCTCCATATACCTCCAATACAGAACCCTATTAATCATGGACGCTAAGTTCAGCCCCACAATTAGGTCAGTCAATGATTCAGACAAGCAATGTAATCAGCAAAATCCAGTCCAATTCATATATTAGAAGCATACTTTAATCCGATTTCTTTTTTTTTTCTTTATGAGCAAATAAACTACTTAATTTAATCATGATTGAAGATCTTTACTAGTGTTTTCAAATAAAAATACTGCTTCTTATACATAGAGTGATAATCATAACAATACTATGAGATAAGAAATCGATTTTTGCCTATAAATCTCTAATATTGAATTTGATTGATAAAAGTTCTGCAAAATAACTTAAAAAAGAAAGAAAAAAAGAGAAAAGGAAAGCTCGCAGCAGGCAAAAGATGTCAATATGTTAATTAAGAAGTCCGCCAGTAAAAAGAATGGAAAATAAATCAAGAAAGTAAGCTTGATTACTCAAGTCAACAACGTTATAA